GGGCCTGCCGGTCAAGTCGATTCAAACATCCGTTGGTGTAGAAGATTTACCACTTGTGAACAAACCAAATCCTTAACATTCCTTCTAAACGGTGGCAAGCAAACTGTGTTCTGGAAGAGCTTGCTTTGTACCATCTGACCGTAATGGACCATTCCTTCGCATATCGTTGGAGGCGAAGGGAAGAGAAGAGTCATGAAGAGTCATTGTCTACCCATCTCTCATGGAGCAGTCGCACTTCGCACATGTCCCAAACACCCATTCAAACGTGTATAAAACAACAGCCAAGCATTCGGTTGGAGGCCATTGCTTCTAGGTTGACCTTTGGCCCTTCAAACGTGTAAAATATGCATAAACAGTTTTGCCAAGCACTTCTCGCCTCCTCGGAGAGTTTGAGCTGCTTGGGCTGCTTGGGCTTAGGCCACCTTGCCGCCGCAGCTCCACAAGCTTCTCCCGGCTGGGCAACACCTGCCCGTGCCAAGCGACCGCGAGGTTTCATCGATTCATCCAGAGAGCACCTGCTTTCATCTGCTATCTGCTTCCAGCACCTGCCATGCCTTGTAATGAGCTTTTTCTAGCTATAGGATGCTCTGAGTCCTAGCCAAGCCTGCTGGTTATGTAGTTCCATGGGTTCTTCTGAAACAAATTCACCGACGTCAGTCAATTCATTCAGTACCGGAGACCGCCTGCTCGGTGAAAAACTTCATTCTTTCAATGGCCTTAGAGATTCAAAAAATCGACAACATTCGGATCATCACTTCAGCTTCTTCAGCTGAACTTCTCTTACACCCCTGCCTGGCCGGCCTGCATATGCCGTGGCTGAATAGCCTCCGGCAGGAAAGGCATGTGGATTGTTCCAATGCTTCGAGTGCTTTCTATGGCCTCTGGAGGATATAGAGGAGCCTTCGGCTCCTGCACAAACACGTTTCACCGTGCCGATCACTTTCGTGCGTTTCACCACCAAGCGGTTCCGCCGTTCATCGCGTCCACGTGCTACGTCACTGCGTCCTTTCGCGCGTCCGAGTCGTCCTTTCGCACGTCGAAGACGTCCCGCGCCTCTCGGCAAGGCCACGGCGCCCTTGGTGGGGAAACGACCCGTTTTGGTCTTTTTGACTTCAGTTTACCGAAAGAAGAGAAAGAATTTTTTTCCGTTTTGGTCTTCAAGATACTCAGCCTCAAGCTCCATCGGTCAGGGTGAAACGGTGAAACGGAAGCGTCTACTGCATGGATCGATTCAGAAAGGGAAAACCAGGGTGGCTTCTCCACAGATGGTTTCCGTGTGCTTTCAGGTGGATTGTGACTGCTCTTAAGACTGTGGGGATCTCTGATGATATGGTTGGCCCAACCTAGATCAAATGCTTCTGTACTCCATGAAAGAAACAACAATCTTTGAACCAGGTCTGGCGGCATTGCAACACTGAAAGCACTGAACGCTCATTGTAACCTCTACTTGACTTGGTGCAGTTTCAAACGGTCGCCTGTGACACGTCTTTTTGAACGACTCTCTGATTCATGCACGCTGGCTCGCGCGCTGGCTAGCATTCGCAGCAAACTTTGGCCACGTATCCTCACCTCTCCTCGCCGAGATTGTTCTCCTGCGCAACCTGTGAAAGGTGCTAGACCATTCCCCCTTGCAGTGGGGAAGCCATTCAGAACTAACGCAGGTTGAAAGAAATCGCTGATCGGATGGAAACAGGCTGAAGAGAGTGCAGATGGGTGCAAGTAGGGCAAAGGGATGAAGAGCGCGTTTGATTCGAGTCGAGAGTCTGCCCGAATTCGGGGAGCTCAAGGCTAGAGGCTGGATCAAAGGAGACACTAGTGAAAAGAATATAAATGTGCCTTCCGTGTTTCGCCCACTTTCTCTAGACCTTGAGACCTTCTCGTATACCTCGAAGTCCTTTTTCGATCTGGCATGGGTGGGCGTGGCCCGCATCTTTTGTGTTGTTGGACGTGGGCCGCTGCGCAAATTGTTTCGGTGTGGCAGTTGCTTGAAAGCTGAATCTAGACGCTCACTTATTTGGAGCCATTCTCAGCAGTTCAATTCAAAAAGAAGCTCGCAAGAATTGTGCTCACACACGGTGCTCACTGGTGATGGTACTGTGTTTATCAGGTAGTGAACGGAGTCAAATACAAGCAAGTAGAATTATATACAGTAAGTAGAATAGAATGGAGCTGATGCGCACAAAACCAATGCATATAGATCTTATTATTGATCTTATTCTTGAGGAGAATTCTGCAGACTGACCGTCTTACAAGCAATTGATCAACTATGGACAGCACAACTCCTTAATGACTTCAACAAGTCGTTCATATACGTTTGAGGGGTGGCCAAATGGTTTGTGATTGGATGATATTGGATGGATTGACCTTACTACTACAGCTGCACAGCAGCCCATTGACTCAGAAATACCGCGGTGTCCGCGTACTTGCCTTGAGCTGATGGCCTTGTGAGCAAACTTGGCCACACGCTGTGGAGCTAAGGAGGGAGCACCTTGGATTCAACTGAGTTACCCACGTGGTGACGAAACGCCGTGACGGCACCGGGTGGTGACCAAGGGCACGTTTGCTTCACCGGGACCATTCACCGTTCGACGTGGTTCGCTCCGTGAGGCTCCCGGCTTGGACATCCATCGCCACCGATCGCCCAGGCTTTCCGGGTTCCTCCTGCAGCTCAAACTCCACTCGTTCGCCCTCCTTCAAAGCTCGACGCCTCAGAGATCGGGAGAGATCAGATTCCTTCAGAAGAGAGGAATGAATCGGAATGAGCAGTGTGGGTTTTCTCATGAAAAGAAAACGTTGAATTCAAGAATTGGGTTTGGCATGATTTCCCGACATGTTTCCGATTTCCCTATCTTTGGCAAGACCTTGCTTGGGAATTCGCAACTTTTTGTACCGGAAGAACCAGAAGCCGTGCCCGGCCTTCCATCGGAATCTCGCCGCACGTTTCTCTTGTGGACGAAGACGTCAGGCCCACCCGAGTCCGGCGCAATGAAGCCGTAGCTCTGAAAGCAGCGACGGCACCGGTCTGGAAAGCGTTTTTCCTCTTGAAACCGGTTGGAGGCCGTTGCTAGTAGGTTGGAGGCCATCGCTATAGTAGGGTGGAGGCCATTGACCCGAGAGGACTGGACACGGGATAATCCGAAGCTTCGTTCTCGCACAAGTGACTAAATCTCCTTGTTGCAGGGCAAAGACATGAAAAGACCTGCTCTGTTCGAGAAGTCTGTTTCAAAGTGCAATGGCCGGGCCCTCAATCGCCAGTAAGGATCAAGAGCTATGAAAAGATTCACAATGAGACGCTTGAAGTGTGAATTACCTTGTTCCTAGTAGCTTCTTGTTACTAGTAGTAAGGCACTTGTTACTAGTAGTAAGGCACTTGTTCCTAGTAGCTTCTTGTTACTAGTAGTAAGGCCATCTAAGGCCAGGAGCGCCCCGTTCGGTTGGCGTCCGCTCCGTTCGTAGCCCTGTTCGATCTGCAGAGGCCGCCGCCTTTCCGTTTCCGAACATCACCACCGTGCCACGGCCTCGGGGCGGGCGAGGAGAAGCTCGGAGGCGTCCCAGTGCGGACGTCAAAGTCCAAGGTCTGGACAGGGATCCCGCAGAAATCGTGGAAGTCGAAGCATCCGGATGGAGGGAAAATGGAAGTCGATGTTAAGTAAGGAGACATTCAAAACACTCGAAACTCAACGTTTGAATGCTCGTGACTCAAGACCCATGATATCGGGCTCATAATTTGCTGAGGACTTGGGGAAATACAGTTCTGATCGATTATTATAATTGATTACCGTAGAACTAATGGAGTGTCCAACATGTGCGAGTTTGGCTTCAAACGCATCGGAGGTATGCAAAAAGAACACAGCCAATGGAATGCCCCACAAAGACCACCAAGGCCATGTCTCATCACCAAGGGCCATAATACGTTTTTTTTTCCCACTTCTCAACTCCGCCCTCTGGTTCAAGGGCAGCATCTGAGTGTCGCTCATTCCGCTCATTCGACGTGAAACATGAGGAATCAACGCAGCCGGCACAGCTGCGGACCGCATCTTCATTGCTCCATGGCATCAACTGCTCGTCGTGCGCTGGGCCTCGGGCAGTCAGACGAGTGGATGGGACTTTTCGGCAAGGACTGAGCAGGCCTTGGCAGCGCCGCCAGGGTTCGATGTAAAGACTGGCGGTTCAACTGAAATCACACAAGGAGAACGACTTCTGTACGTCGCAGGCACGACGCGTCTCGGTCCAGCCGTGCCTTCTTGGCCGCCTGTGGCGCTGCAGCTGCATATGTCAAGGCTTTGATTTTCTCCTGCAAACTCGAAACTCTAGAGACTCCAGGTCATGTTGGAGCTCCAAGGTCCCAATGATTCCCTCCTCTCTGGTATAGGTTGGCAGGCTATTGAGAAAAAAGGGCACCCCAGCAGCTGAAGCCTGGGACACTTCTACACATCAGCATGCGTGTGCGCCAGATGTAGTGTCCACCACATGTTCAAAATAATAAACAAAAAACATGTCTATATAAAGCAAAAAGAAACCAAACAAATCTCATTAGATTAAAAGAAAATTTATAATCTGATAAGGATTTAGAAAAAAACGTCTATATAAAGATTAAATCAAAAAGTAAGTACATGTTCAATGTGTTTCAGCAGCGTTGCAGCGCTACAAGGCTCCCTGTTTTTTTCGGCGCGGCTGTACACATCACGGGTGCCTTTGGTAGGAAATTATAGCTGACGAAACATCCGCCAGCTCAACATTAACTACGTTGACAGCGGTCAGCATGGCGCCATCAATCTAACTTCAGCTTTGTAGCTATGTGCAACCTACTCAGCAAGTATAGTTTGAAGAAGAGTATGATAAAGTAAGGGGATTGTCTGCATGTGGGAAATAAAGGAAAGTTGCAGCACATGGAACAAATATGAACAAATCCTATGCAAGTATGGAAGTCATATAACATGGGTGCTGGCTTCGTGATAAAGCTTCGAAAAATGCAGCATGTTCTTGATGCTCAGGTCAGATCAGAACCAGCTGTTGGCCTGCATTTCAGACAAGAATGGGTTTCAGGCTTCGGAAACTGTCCAGCTTGCGTTCCAAAACTCTGGTAAGCACATACTCTGGATATCCCAAAATGAATTCCCTTTCCAAAAGAAATGGATACTCATGGATACCTCTTCATGATCTCAGTGCCTTGTCAATCATGTTGTTGATGTTCTTTTGAACCTCCTTGGCTTTGGCCATGCCAGAGAGCCGGTTGCCGTCCGCATCGATGTCCCAGCCCTCCATGACCAGCGGAGAGCGGTGGACGACGCGATGCAATTCCGAACGCACCTGGGAGGACGAGGTTGGAGAAAAGGCTCACCCACTCACGCGATGAGTCGTATAAAAAACATCAAAAAAACAAGAATCCCCTCATTCTGAAGGAAATGAGAGACGAACACCAAATGAACCCAGTGGACTTGCCTTACCCTGAGAGGAGAAGGTCACCACAAACTCTCCCGTGGACTCATTGAACTTCACCACATTGGTACTCACCTGAGTATCAAGCAAGGAGACGAGTAGGCCATAAGGGCCATAAGACCTCTTGAAAATATGAAAAAGCATGATGTTTGCTGATGTTTGCTCTGTTAGCGTCTCGTTGAACAAATGGCGTTGTTCCTTTCAAAGGACGACATGTCCACCCTCTACCATGGCCTCCCCTCCTTCTGATGTGTTGGTGAAGCGCATCTCGCCTGCCGACTCCTCCATGACATTGCCGGGCACCTCAGCGGGCCGGTCGACCCGCCTGCCGACTCGTTTGAACGGACCGCGTTTCACGAGGCCCGGACCGATGACAGGGCCTCTCTGGAAGAAGTGACCAGCTGGGCAAAGAAGCTCTCGTAGCTCACGTGCTCGTCCATGGGCTCGGAGACTAAACTCTTGAGACCTTTCTCTTTAATCGATGGAGCATCGGGCCGCACTTTCACCTTGGCATTCTTGAAGCTCATGATGTTTGCCACGATCGCATCCGTCCAAGGATACATGCCATCTCTGTGTTCTGGTGATGCAAGTCTTTCACCATCCTTGTCAAGGCAGAACTCAATCTGGACAGGGTCCTCCAAAAAGTTCACCGAACAAGTTGACACCACCTCTTCCTTGGCATCGGTGATCCATGCTCCCATTTCGCCGTCATTGACATAGTCGACGACAGAAATGGACATCGCCGCGGGGTTCACCGTGACTTTCTTCCAATAGCGAACTCGATCCGTGCCATCGCCCTTACCATATCCAACACTATCCAGCTTCTTTCCATCAAGAATCACCTTCAACAGAAAGGTGTTCTCATCAAGATCCTTCAAAACGAGTTCCTTCAAGAGGCCTTCTGAGATTGGATCCAACGGATACCTGGGACAGTGCACAGCCAGGTATCTGTATCAGCACAGGAAGAACATGCGCAGTCACTTTGACAAGAAGCACACATGACAAGTGACAAGCATCGGAGTAAGATAGCTGTGGATCAAAACTGTACCCGGCCATATATCCCTGCTTAACTCAGAAGTTGATGAGAAAAAGGATGCTCAGCCCCCCAAAACATTGGGCGAACATCAAAACAACAAAAACAATGGAACAAAAAAAACATGCGCCTCAGCATGGCCATCGTCTCATCAAAAGCTTCCTTTCTGGAGATTGGTGGATCCAAAGCATCCAATGGACCTGAAATGATGCCTCAGTGTGGGTGGAAGCTGTGCTTCTGAAGCGACAAATGCAACGACCAATTGGCCAGAATGAACCAAGGAGCTTTGCATTCCGGGTTGAGTTGACTGCTGCTCCGCCATCAACTCCACACCATGTGAGGCCTCAAGCTCCAAAAGCGATGCTCTTCCAAGCACCGAAATCAACACTTTTGACCATCAAAGTAGTGAAAACGTTGCATGCAGGTCCTCTCAGGCAGGTCGTCCCTATCTCCAAATGAGGAACGCATTCTCTTGCTGCCTTGCCACCCCCATAGTGATTTGACAACAAAAGTGATCCGACTCAGCAGAATTTGATCCTAAAAACAGCTGCAGATGCCATGAAATGTGTGCCCTGAGAATGTGCATCAGTGCTTGGTCAATATGACATCTCCCGAGGCTGGTACATCAGGATGCGTTTGAAGTCTGGGACCGTCCTGAGAGTCTTCCAACATCCGATGCATCCGAACGAACAGAACGACGCTTCATCCACGGCTTCCGGGGCTCCCACGGGAGCCGTGGCGACAGCTTCGGCCGTTGGAGCTCGGCTTTGCAACGGGCTCATCCTACAGCGGGCTCGCATCGATCGTCTCTTGTTACTAGCGAGGCACTTGTTACTACTAGTAAGGCACTTGTTACTACTAGTAAGGCA